TTTATAGTTTTTGTGAATATTTTCAATCAGATTTTATTTTTTAATTTTTTGTTTTAAATTTTAGTTTAGTTAAGTTTTGGTAATTTTCGCTTTTTTATATTTTATTTTTATTTAAGTGTCTATATCGTTTCATTCATTAATTTGAGTTTATTCAGTTTTAGTTATTTTGGTGTTTCAAGTTAATCTAAATGAAAATAAGAAATGTCGCATCTGCAACAAGCTGAAATAAAATGTTACATTTTTACTTGTTTATTTTTCAGTTCAAGTTTATTTTATTTCAGTTCAAGTTCATTTCTTTCAGGTAACACGTTTTTTTGTGGCTTTAGTTTTAATTAGGGATGTAATTTTCTTTAAAGATTTTCATAATCGATTTTCATTCAAATTAACAATCAATTAATCATTAATCTAAATGCATACAGAAAGACATTTAATTGACTGCACTGTAAATATCAATTTTACGTAATTTTATAGAAATATATACTAAATAAATACCTGTGATTGTAGTTTCCTCCATTTATAAATGGTCATTCAAGAGCATTTCAATAGATCAGTCTTTGGTGTTATTAATGTTGTACAGTAGATAGAAAATACAGATGGCACTCCTTTTTTCCAAAAGAGAGTAATATTTATGGCTTGAACAACATATCCGACATTACTTTTGACTTTGCATTTTACATTTCAAATGAAAACATGTTTGCTGTGTGAACGGTGCAATAGTTCCAGTTTTACTCACTTAAACTCTGTCTTTACTTACATTTAAAGTTACATTTATGCATGCATGCAACATTAATTACTGAATTCTAACAAAATATGTGTATAAAGCACAAAGTCACAGGTTTTTGTTCAAAAAGATCAACATATTCACATGCAGTCTGTTGAGTGTTATTAGATAAATCGAGTAAATTAACAACATTATCGATTACTTGTTTACATCCCTAGTTGTAATAACCCTGCTGCCATAAGCACTATATTGCCTTTTTAAATACAAGAGTACCTCCCGTGTGCAAATGATCGATGTGTAAAGCGTTATGAGCGTGTCTTTCTCATCAGGATTCTGGGATACCGTGTGGAAGACTCCAAAGTGGAAGGCCAGGACAGCTTTCTGAAGAGAATGTCGGGAATGATTCGTCTCTATGCGGCATTAATCCAGATGAGATGGCCTTATACCGGCAAACAAGGGGTGTGTGAAATTCCTTTACGTCAATATGCATTAATAGAGGTTGATTCCTGATGTGAGTGTCGTATGTAAGAAGCTGAATATCTAATGTAAGCGTGTGTCTGCATCAGCCTCATCCTCACGGCTTGAATCACGGCTGGCGCTGGCTGGCACAAATCCTCAACATGGAGCCGCTCGCTGACATCACAGCAACTATTCTCTTCGACTTCCTGGAGGTAAATTAGTTTTTCCTGTTGCAAGTGGTTTTTTATTATTGCTCCCACGCAGTATTTGCTTCATTACAATGTAGTTTTTGGCATGTGTCTCTTTAGGTCTGTGGAAATGCTTTGATGAGACAATATCGAGGGCAGTTCTGGAAACTGATATTGCTTATTATTGAAGAATACTTTCCGAGGTATTTATAGCTGTCTTTGAGAAGACATTTTTTAATTTGTCTTTAAATGTAATGTATTTATTGCCTTCTAAATGCATAATACTCCCTTATACTTTATATTTCAAGCATCCAAAAATTAACCTAAAGAAATGAGCCTCCAAATATTCCTTTTGTCCTTCTGTTTGTTTGATTTGTAGTGTAAATGCTGCTGAATTCTGGTGCACTTTTTTTCTGATTTAAAGGAGTAGTTCACCCAAAAATTTAAATTTGCTGAAAATGTGCTCATCCTCAGGCCATCCAAGATTAGGATGAGTTTGTTTCTTCATCAGATTTGTAGAAATGTAGCATTGCATCAGTGTCTCAGCAATGGATGCTCTGCAGTGAATGGGTGCCGTCAGAATGAGAGTCCAAACAGCTGATAAAAACATCACAATAATCCACAAGTAATCCACACCACTCCAGTCCATCAATTAATGTCTTGAGAAGACAAAAGAAACAAATCCAACATTAAAACCTTTTTAACTTCAAACCGTTGCTTCCGTCTAAAATACGAGTCCATTTACGAGGAAGCGTTATTATGGATTATGGACTCGTATTTTAGCCGGAAGCGGCGGTTTAAAGTTACAAAACGTCTTAATGCTGGATTTATTTCAGCTTTTGTCTTCTCCAGATGTTAACTGCTGGACTGGAGTGCTGTGGATTACTTGTGGATTATTGTGATGTTTTTATCAGCTGTTTGGACTCTCATTCTGACGGCACCCATTCACTGCAGAGCATCCATTGCTGAGACACTGATGCAATGCTACATTTCTCCAAATCTGATGAAGAAACAAACTCATCCTAATCTCGGATGATCTGATGGGGGAGTAAATTTTCATTTATGGGTGAAGTATTCCTTTAATATTAGGTATAAACATAAATATGCCTCAGTGATTAAATCACCAAAAAAACGGTGGTAAACCAGTCCTTATTTATTAAACCTAACCTTATTTCCTCAGAATCGAAGCGGTCACCAGCACCGGTCAGATGGGCTCTGTAACCAGACTCAAACAGTTTCTAGAGGCAAGCGTCTTGTTTGTAGCAGCTAAATTATATTTTCTCAATTTTTAATAACTAATAGTCACTGCATCTGTTCTTTCTTTTATCTAGACGTCTTTAAGAACCAAGCAGATTCCCGCTCCCAGGAGCGAGCTTGGCTCCGCCTTCTTCAAGTCCTGATTGGTGGAAATCAACCTGACAAATGTTTCAGAATGTTCTACACTGAAATGAAGTATAAGCCAATACTGTGTAATGGATGAATGTGTGTTTGCACGAGTGTTGATGTATTTTTCTCATCTATAGGATTTATTTAATCGAGCATCATGCCATCTTAAGTTCAAGTTTGTTGTATTTTATCTCGGCATGCAAGGAAATTATCTCCTTTTTCTAAACTTGTTTTTACATGTTGGTGTCTTAATGTATCCATCCGATCTCAAATTCATGAAAATTATCCTCCAACCAAAGTTTATTATCTGTTTTAGACAAGTGATTGTTAACAGTAATCAGCTTACCCTACATAAGCCTTATTTTTGCAATATGATGATGGAGTGTGCATACACTAAGATGAAATGTACTGTATATTGATGCGTATATTTATGATTTTATATGGCATAAGGATTAAACCAAGTGCACCAAGTGTATTTTGATTATTTTTGTGTGTATTTAAATCTAATGGATCAGAAAGTGGCTTTCTTTTTTCACATCAGTACACATCTAGTACAGATCTATTATGTATGTTTTGTTATGAAAGGAAGTATTTTTATAAAAGGGATTAGCAGACTTTTAGAAATGAGCTTTGGTCAAGATCGTGGACTTTATTCGATGATTATAACAAATGTTTAGCAATTTTTAGTGACAAACCAACTAATACCACAAAACATCACAGAATTCATCAGATCCATTTCAGCTCAACTTACTACAAAGTGAAATAGAATTCAGAATAGAAATTATTCGGGCAAATGATTACAGATTTGGGTTTGATACGATGAGAAACTGCATTAGAAGTTCAACATTAGAAATGACAACATCTATTCAAAGCAACCAAACCAGAGATTTCATTTCAAATGGACCTATGTGTTCACTTAATTGCGACTAAAAAAGATTAAAGTTTAATATTTTATCCAGTATATTAGGATATGATGGGGACATTAAATAGGGCTATCATGGTAAACTAAAACAATATATATGAGTAGTGACGGATTACATGTAATCAGATTCCAAAAATTAAGTAAAAGTACTGATTACATATTATTCACACAATAGCAATACGTTTTGAATTATGAAAAAAATATGAAATTGAGAGGCCACAAAAATCTTTTGCATTTTAAGAAGTGTTTTCTCTACATTTCAACATTGCATCAACTACTGATGAACGCATTAATTTTTATTTTAATCATCACTCAGTTGATTATTTAATTACTGTCTTTTGAAAGGCTGTTGTCTTTCAAACACATTAAAATGCACAAATTCACGTTATTTCTTCTTTACATTTAATGCAAGGATTCCCAAACTTTTTTGTCATGTGAACCTCTTTCACTTAATATATTTACTTGTAGTAGGCCTGAGATTTTAAGATAATAAGTCAATAATTAAGTGACACATTTGCATGTTCACGTTGGTTAATGGTCACATGACATGCAGGTGTAAGCAAATAAAACATTACATTTTTTAGTAAGTGTTTTATTTTGATTGATGTTATTTTAAAATGATTTATCTTTATTTGACATTTTTATGATACATTAATTATTAGCTTTTCATCAAACTCACAACCTTTACGAACCCGTTTGGGAACCTTGATAATGTTTAATGCACTTCACGTTGTTAATTACAACGAATGGAATATATTTTCTTTTTCTTCGCATTTTTATATCAATATATGGTACAAAATGATAATATCTAAATCAATGTGATAAACGAGTTAGGTCAAAAGTAATCTAAAAGTAATCCAAAAGTAGTCTGATTGCATTACTTGTAATGTAATGGATTACGTTACTAACTACAATTTTTGTCATGTAATTTGGAATCAGTAACGGATTACAATTTTCAAGCAATCTACCCAGCTCTGTATAAATATAACGTGTTTGTTACTTGAAATAAAAAATAAAACACTTTTATTTCAGCTAGTTTCCAAGGCAACATTTCTCATTTTCAGTAACTTGATGTACTAAAATAACTAAAACCGAAGTAAAAATGAATAAAAACCACCAAAAACTAATAAAAAATAACAACACAACTTTAGTTAAAATGAACATGAAATTAAAAAAAAATTCAAAATACTAATAATAATACTAAAATAATAATGACCCAAATATCTCGCATTTGTATTTAATTAACTAATTCTTCCCGCCTTTAGGGGGCGCTGTCATTTAAACAGTGATTTCCGCGCCTAGAGTTTCACACGCTTAGAAATGTGGTGTGCCTAAATTCGCTTTTAGGCAAACATTTGATTATTCCACATTATATCTGAGCGTGTTTTAAACTACAAACACTTGTGCTGCGCTCGCAACACGCCGCGGCGCATTCAGCGGTGCACAACACACCTAGGTGGGTGTTTAGAGGGTTTTCATACGAAGTGCAATACAAATATTGTATAGACATAGTATAAATAAGCATTTAAAAGTACAGTAAGTAATGCATTGCTCAAACAGTAGGGGATGGCAATAGCAACAGGAAGGTTGTGGGTTCGATTTCTAGGGAAAGCAGGAAGTGATAGAATGTTTATTTTTTATTTAATAAAAGCGCCTTCCCAATATGTAAATGTAAGTACATATTGTTATATTATATGAAACTTATGCACAAGTTTGAAATACTTATTCTTGATACACACACACATACACTATTGTTTTATGAGCGTACATGCACTTTGTTTTTACATGCAAAATGTATTTCATGCTACTGGACAACTGAAGTGAACTACAAAACAAGAAATAAACAAATTTCCACTTCCATTCATGTACATGTGATGGAATAGTTCACCCAAAAATGAAAATTTGCTGGAGAAGTGTCTTCATCCGAGATGTAGATGAGTTTGTTTCTTCATCAGGTTTGGAGAAATGTAGCATTGCATCAGTGTCTCAGCAATGGATGCTCTGCAGTGAATGGGTGCCGTCAGAATGAGAGTCCAAACAGCTGATAAAAACATCACAGTAATCCACAAGTAATCCACAGCACTCCAGACCATCAGTTAATGTCTTGAGAAGTGAAAAGCTGTTTGCGCAAGTAAAAAATCTATCAAGATGGGGGTTTTTTACATCCAAAATTTCCATATTCCATAATGCTTCCTCCAGTGGAAAAAGGTCCATCTCTTGTCTCTCACATCAAAATCCACTCACATATTTGACTATAATATATATATTATGGATAGAGGATTTGTATTTTAGTCAGAAGCAACTATTTGAAGTTTAAAAACACCTTAATAAAATATGTTTCTAACAGAAACAGATTTTTGCAAGACATTAACTGATGGACTGGAGTGGTGTGGATTACTTGTGGATTGTGATGTTTTTATCAGCTGTTTGGGCTCTCATTCTGACGGCACCCATTCACTGCAGAGCATCCATTGCTGAGACACTGATGCAATGCTACATTTCTCCAAATCTGATGAAGAAACAAACTCACATCTTGTGTGTCTTGAGGGAGAGGACATTCTCAGTAAATCTTCATTTTTGTGTGAACTATTCCTCCAACCAAAGAGATATAACATACATTTTTCTCTTTTCTTTATTGAAGGTTGGGCGTTTCAGCCCAGTGACGGTGACCCGAGAAGACTTTGAAGGTTCGGACCAGACATTTGTGGCGCTCATAGTTGACAGACTTCTGCAGGAACACTTTGCATCCACACTGCTGATGACACCAAAATCTTTTAGAAGTTGACAATTAGCCAGACCACACTTTATGCCATTTAATAAAGCTATTTTTATGGGGAATATTTAATATGACTGGCTTTGTTCTTGCCTTGGCCCAAGGGATATTAAAATATGGCTTCCCATTGACTCTTAAAACAAACAATTTTAACCTTTATTGTATTTTCTTTGCAACTGGATGAATACCAAACATTGCGTTTTATTTGAAAACCAACCCAACAGATTCAAGTGTCTTACACAGTAATACAACCACTACATAAAGTTCATTGAGGTGGTAAGAGAAAGTTACAGGCATGATTTGATTCCTTTTTTTGAATATTTTATTTTCTTTATCAAAAATCCATTTCAAATCTGGTGAATGTCTGTAAAACAAGACGAGATAAAAATCAAAGACTCAATGATGGTGTCCACATACCCTCTTTCCTCAGCCCTCCTGAAACAGGGATTCACTACTGATGTCTATCTGCTGATTAAACCATGAAGGGAATAAACACCAAGAATAAAGTAACAAAACGGTGGAGAACGCTAGAGCTAGCAGATCACTGCGCACCATGGCTTCTGTTCAATTAACCACGAAACTTTAACAGGAAAATTATACATATTTGTACATATATATATTAAACAAAAAAAAAAAAGAAACAGAAAACACTATTCGCAAGTCTACTCCAGACGACGTGCGGCCGATAACTACAGTGTTTTGCTTTTTACTTCGAAATGCATTTGGAAATTGAGATGGTAGACGCCATGTCGGGAAGATTTTGCAGTCAGTTTATTGTGAGTCTGTTCGGGGGACTTCAACATGGCAAGTTCAGGATAGAGGAAAGATGGAGCTCAAAACCAAAAAACAGGACAACGAAGCATCTTGCTCCCCAAAAAAACAACAAAAAAGCCAAAGAAGCAATTTGGAAACGGGACAATGTGGATAATATTCCTCTATTTCAGCTTCAGTCATCCTCGCCATCATCGTCCTGCAATAAAAAGCCAGTTAATGTGCGCTTCTTCAAATGATACACAAGTTTGTTGAAAGACAATACTTGAAGACAAGTAAGAATTGAACATTTTCAAGAACTCTTAGGAAGTGAAATTTAATAAAGAGCGACTAGAATCATTTCTATAGTTACGCATTTAAAGACTTTCTACACGACGGCAAGCTTCAAATGAATTGGTTGCATACCTCTCCATCATCATCCTCCTCTTCTTCCTCTCCATCATCTTCTCCCTCTTCATCAATATCATCCAGACCTTCCTCGTCTTCCTCCTCATCCTCACCTTCCTCATCCTCCATGTCTGGAACCTGTTGGTGTTTGAAATGCAAATGAATGACTCATAACTTCCACTCCGCTGCATAAACTGGACGAATTGTTCCGACCACATCATTTAAATGACTGAAATGGAAACTTTCCAAGACTAAATAATACAAACCTTACCGAGCTATGACCAAGTCTACATGAGCTTAATCTGAACATTTTTTAAAGCTTTCCATTTGTATGTGGATGTTGTTCCAGATGGGAGTGCAAGTCTCACCAAGTAGTACTGAAGAGGATTCGGCCAGATGTCGTCTTTAATGACTTCGCCCAACTCGTCTGCCCCTGAATCAGAGTGATCAGTAAACCAGGTGAAGAAACTCTCAGGTTCTTCATGTTGCCTTTTCTTGCCCGCTTTACTCTGTGTCTGACTGGACCGACTTGTGAGGTCCTGCAAAAGAAGAAAAGATTAACATTACAAACTCATTTGACAGAATTCAGTCACAGAGTAAAGAACTCTTTAATAAAAAAAACATCATACATACTTTTCCTGGTTTCCATTTGATCTCTGTTGACTTCGAGGTTGGGTCTCCACTTTCGTTCAGGTGAATTTCTTTGGAGAGGACTTTGTTCTCAAAATACATGTTTTCATCAAAATACTAAAAGGCAATGGAAAAGAAAGGGTGAGTTATGGAAGCATAAAAGCTCTAAGCCATGAAAGTGAATTTTTACCACTTACAAAATCTATTCTGTAGCCGGATTTGATGTCTTCAAACTCCGTCACCTCTACTCTGGTCAGATAGTGAAGCGCCTCCTCATCCTCCTCCCCAAGAAGAGCTGAGACTATAGAATCAAACCATATTAAATAAGACATTAATTGAATATAATGGTAAAATAGTGTAATAACAATTTGTACAGGATCTCTTACCTTGTGGGTGGTTGACAAATGTTGTGACCCAAAAGTTGGGGATTTTGGCTATGAGTTCTGACCTCTTCTGGAAGAACGGCTGGCGAAGTTTGTTGTATTTCTGTTCGACTTTGAGAATTTCCTCACTCGCCTGCTCGTTCAGTCTGGACAAGATCAGACACAAAATAAATAAAAAATAAATTATCTCCATTCACGAGCATCACAGCATTGACTTAAATTTTCTACCGCGGTAATTCCGTTAAAGTATGGATACCGCGGTAATTCATTCAATATAGTTCTACATACCTGTCAATTTCATTCTGTACTTCATCGATGTGCTCGATGGCTTCTTGTTGCTCTTTTTCTAAATGAGAAAACCGTGTTAAAAGGAAAAACAGGAAATATTTAGCATAACAAACTAGCGCAACATAAGCTAAAATGCTTTTATTCCCAATTCCCGCGCTTTGCAACGATTTAAGTAGAATTTAAAGATTTTTAAACTGAACACGTGTGCATAGTTTCTTCAAAAAATCAGTATTATTCGCGGTACATTTTCTGTGACGCGAATGCAGTCTGATGCATTTAACTCAGAGGAGCCGCGCTGATGCCGCGTGGTTTAAATGTGCACAGAATCGCTCGCGCTGCACCTGCTTCCGTCGCGAACCCACGGCCGATGCGCGTGTAAAGTCGCTTCGGCGTTCATTTCTACCATCGTTCGCCCGTTAAAGTGCATAAACAACCATTAGCCCGTGCTACATCATGGCGGAGACGTGGCTCGGCTAGGCTAAAGCACAACAACAATAAAGCACCGCGATCGGACGCTTCCGTTCCGCATGTTTCACGCGCTTTAACTGCACGCGTTTCTTCGAAAAAATCCGTTAGCGGGCAGAACAAAAACCCCCGCGCTTTGATTTTTAAAATACAACGGTTTTTGTGTGCGTACTAATGGGGCTTTTGTGGCGCGCTCAGTTCGCAGAAATCAAACATGGCCTCCGCCGCCGGCTGCTGCCGTCCCTCCGCGAACATCCAACCAGACCCGCGGCCAATTACAAGCACCGCACACCGCCACGGTCTACAGAAACGAGTCATACTCGAACCGCGGATAATTAACTAGCTACAATAGCGATTAAAACCCCGCTTGCGAGAGAAGAGAAAGTGAAAATGGCCGCCGTTCTCGCTTACCTGAGGTCTCGTCCCCTCCGTCGTGGTTCGAGTTCAGTTCCTTTTTACTGACTTTAGCCGCTGAGGCAGACATGATTTCACTGATCGCGACGAGAGGAGTTTTCAGTGAGAATCAAGAGCTGTGGTTTTTAAACTCGTTGAGGTAGAAGATCGTCCTCCTTGAGCTCGGTTTCTGGAGACTGTAATAGGACGAGAAACGAGCGAGCCCGCGCTGCTCCACACACAAACTTACAGCGAGGGAACGAACGCAGATTCTCACGCGCTCTCTTTCGGACAGAACGCGCCCCTCACGAGCTCGAAAAATGAGCTCCGCCCCTTCCAGAACAACCCGCCGAGCTTGACGTCGGTCCCCGGACCTGCTCTCTGATTGGGCGGCGCCGGTGGGGGCGGGGCTGGGCGTGGAACCGCTACAGAAAAGGCGGGATTTCAATGAATCTCGCATAACATGTTATCTGAATGTAGGTAAAATGGTTCCACACTGCAAATAAACACTCATGATTATGTTTAACCTTCTGGTGTTATTCGGTCATTTTAGACCGGAAAAAAAAAATATTTTGAAATGTTAAAAACCAACGAAGCTCTCATAAGCGTCGCGCTCGCGTCTGGCGCGTGAAGAACGCTCTAAAAACGCGGCGTTCAAAAAAAGTTACACTTCTTAAAAACGCCACAAAACTCTTTAAGTTAGTGCTTCTCAGCCTTTTTGACATTTTACACAATATTCAAAGCCTGCCAAGCCCCAATGAATTTGCATGTCTTTTCCAGTCTTTGTGATTTACTGGATAAGTGAGTATTTTTTACTCACAATTTTTTTTCCCCCAACAAAATATTTTAAAGCTTGAACTATAGAAAAGTGCATAATTTTTATATTAATGTTGGTCATTGATTTATATTATCCAGGCCACACTTTTAAAATGAGGATACCTCAAATATCCAGGTTTTCCAAGATAGGAACCCTGATTCTTGTTGAGGGGGTGAATTAAAATAAGAAATATCTGGATTTGTAGCTCATTTAAATACTCGTTTTGAAGTTTAAGTCATCTTGAGGCTCATTTTGGAAGTTTGCCCATTGCTTCAAGTCTCACGAATCCCAAGTTTGTGGTTAATATCAAGACAGATATGAATAAATAAACTGAAAGTGAAGATTTGTGTTTCAGCAACCGCTCAGGACTAATTAGCTTTATTCACTAAAGCATTTTTTTCTGGCTTATAAGAATCATTAGCGAGTCTTTATTTAGAAAGTCTATTTAGTCACATATAAAATTAACTTAAACCAATAAAAAAGCTATACAAACTGTTGTGAACTATACAAACCGTCCCTCATTATGTGAACAGATATACATCATGATGCAACAAATGCATCTTTGAATACCAAGCACTAAGTAATTGTGGCACATGATGATTAATGGCCTATTTATCCCTGCAGGTTTACTACATAAAATGATGCAAGTAACCACATCACATCAGTATTAGTAAAAAACGATTAATGTTGGGTCTAAAGAGACGCTCAATAAAACACTCAGTGGTCTGAACTCGTTCTATGAACTTTTCCTTGATAAAAAAATCCAGTCATTTAGCCCCGTTGGTGCGTCTGACGTAGATCCTCTCCCATGCTACCGTCCCGCAGACGCAGCAGAAGTGCCACAGGTTGCAGATGACTCCTCTGTCGAACGGGTTCTCCTCCGAGTCGCAGTGTTTGAGGTACACGATGCGCTGGCGTGACATGAACTCCCAGGTGGTGCTGTTCGCCGAGGCCAGGTACAGGTGAATGCACAGCAGGAGCAGCACGACCACCGAAAACACGGCCGTCACGGCAAACGCCCCGAGCAGGAATCCGTTCTGAGTGAACCACTGCTGCCAGGTGGGTGCAAAGACGACGCCGGACCTTAAACACATACGCTTCAGTGTAATCCATTTGATGCGTTATAGATTACTCTTTATTCTGAACCCCGGCTGGACTGTGAATAATCCGTTTTTCACAGCATCTTGAGTGATAAAACATCTTAAAAAATGAATTTGGAATGAATAGCTTCTCTGGGATCAATAAAGATAAGGCATTGCTTACTGTATGGTTTACAGTATGTACTGCATAATGCAGGGGTTTTCAATCTTTTAGATGCCATAGACCCCAGATATGATGATCCTCGTGAGAGGGACCCCCATCGTTAAATTTAAATGTATACACAAAATACATTTTCATATGTGACCCTGGAGCACAAAACCAGTCACGAGGGTCAATTTTTCGAAATTGAGATTTATGCATCATCTGAAAAAGCTGAATAAATAAGCTTTCCATTGATGTATGGTTTGTTAGGACAGGACAGTACCTGTGTTATGCAGAAACAGGACTAAAGTTGTGAGCCAGGTCAGAATCACATGAGCAGTCCGAACTAAACAACCTGATTTAAACATGTTCTCAAACATCCTGCGTCTTATGAACAAGAACTATATTAAAAACACTTAAAACATAGCTAGATTATTAAATATACAAGTACTATTCGGTGTGTACTCTTATCATAAATACATTAACATACAGTAAAACATTTCAAACTAATTTTAGAGATTGAATCGCTGGTCATGTATGTTTTTATTCCTCTGGTTTTGTTGTGTTGACATTTCCGGGTCTGAGCGGTTGGTTGGATTTCAAAATAAAAGTCATTTCCCCCGAGCGGGATTTCAAAATAAGATTCTGATCTAGAACTACTTGTTTTAAATTATTAAATTAAAACTTTAGATTTTAGAAGTTTACATAAATCACGTAAAATGCCAATATCATGTTTAAAACTGGAGAAGGAAATAGATTGCATCTTATTGAGAAAATTGTGCAGTGTTATATACAGTGTTTTGAGCTGCAGATGGCAGTGTGCACTCGCTGATCAGGACAAAGAGGCCTACTGTACATGAAACACACTTGAGTTTAATTTAGTTTAGAGATATGATCCCCATAACTGTTCAGAGACGTATTGTAATATGTGACCCTGGACCACAAAACAAGTCATGAAGGTCAATTTTTTGAAATTGAGATTTATACATCATCTGAATGCTGAGTAAATAAGCTTTCCATTGATGTATGGTTTGTTAGGATAGGACAATATTTGGCTGAGATGACAATCTGGAATCT